CAGGACATTTCCTCACTTTCTAAAAAAACCCCGGGACGCCCGGGACAGGACGTAAAATACGGACATGTCCCGGGAAATACGGACGTTTGGTCATCCTACTTTACATGTAAACTAGCTGCTTCTGCTGCCTCTGCTGCTAGCTGTCTGAGCGTAGCATTAGAGTACTTTTTTGGGAATTATTTCATCTTTATGTATTAGTGCGAAGCAGCCAATCAGACGTCATCGTTTGCTATGGAGGCAGACCTAGAGGTCATAGCCATTCCAAAAAATTAAAAAACAATCCACTGGACTTTGTTTCCAAGTTTGAAGACGTTTCTCTTCCATCCAGGAAGCTTTTTCAGTTCAAAATGTTAGAAATAGCGTTTAGTTTGAACTAAAGATCCGGAACGACCCCCATTCCAAAGGGGTGGACCCGTTCATCCGGTTCAATTCGCATGTCGCGCTAAACAAAAACAAGGCTTTGTTGGGCTGCTGTATAGAACCTGGAACTCAACGAAAAGTTAAATTCTCGCATAACTAGAGATTTAACCTGCAAAGCGCAAAAACTGGTACAGCGCATGCTTGGCTTAACCAGAACTCACAGCGACTAGAAGTCTGGCGTTCCTTCCATGCTTGTTTCAGTGATTCTGACCTTGTTCTACTAGCAGCCCTTCTTCGCCTTCGCTTTATCCTCTCTAGGTTCCTCTGAGCCTTCTGCCTTGCCGTCCCTTCAGATACATCCTCCTGCTTCCATCCTTTCTCCTCCATGACCAACGAATTCTGGTTTTGTCCTCAGTCCCTCTCTGTTCTCCCTCACACCACTGAACCCAGCACTGTTCAGAGTGCCGTTGTTCAGTCTCTTGTCCCCTGATGGATTCTGGGAACTAATCTAGTTTCACCAAGCAGGTTTAACCACCTCATACTCAAACCCTCAACTCTGAGTTGATGTAGCCTGATGTTGGAGAACCTGCTTTGCTAAACGGACATCAGGCCTCGGCTGCTCTGGGGTTCCTGTTCCTGTTGCTGGTTTTTTTCCTGGCTTTAATAAATTTGTTAAAGGGCGATTAGACTTCTGCAACTGCACACATCAAATGTTGCTTGGGTTTGGTCGCGAACCAGTTTTGCTGGTATCCTTCTGCAACGTCGGTCCAGAATTTCTAGAGACGCACAGCAGTTTCCCACCAAAGCGCAGCGGGAGCCTATTCAAGAACTCTAGAGAAGTTCTAGGAGTGTTCCAAAACAATAATGGCGCATCTGCAAGATATCACGGTCACAGAGATAGATCTAGAGTTGCTAGACATAGAAGAGGAACAGGTTCTGTTAATGGATGGCACCTTCTCGATTAACCTTTTGTTGTAGTTATCCATTGAAGTAGTTCCTCGGTTTTTAGAAATGGCGTGCCCCGGCACCGAATCGAGAAGGACGACCACACAGACAGCCGGAAAGGCAAAGCAAGGACCAATCACAGCTGCTTTTTGTCTGCGTACTTCCGCTTGAGGTCGGCGCCGGTTTGCGACTGTCCGACGTGTGGTCAGGACTTTTTCGTGGTGCGTGACGGCGGATGCATAACCTCTGCGTGGGGCGCGTGGTCGCGCACAGAGACAGATTTGAGGCTTGCAGAGGCAATGCGTCAGAAGCATAAATTGACCTTAATGTGTCTGACTGTGGTTGGTTGAATACTGGTCCTCCGTCTGTTCCAGAGCTGAATTCGAAAATACTTCCCAGGTTCCTGTGTTGCTTTTGGCTGCTGCTCATCTGGAGTTAATAACCAAGCAGAACTTTGTGTTCTGATAAACACATTGCTGGTAAATTAGCACAATAAAACCACCCAGTCTATGACCTCATTGTTCTTCTTCTCCGAAACATCCCCCTGCATGTGCTGACCTGCTGGGGTTTTCTGTGGGACCAGATCCAAGCATCTTCTCTGGCCCTACAGAGGAGATCCTCCCCATCCCTCCTTCCTCTGTCTCAAAGCATTCCTCCTGCTCATCCTGCGCCATAATTCCTCAGAACAGTCTGTTTCAGTTCATTCCTGGTTTGATCCATGTTTACCGTCTCCTGGTGTGAGTCAGAGAAAAGGCAGTTGTCTTCATGCTGGCCTCCATGAGGTAGAGATGTTCGGCTGTAGATGGAAACGATAAGCAAGTTGCTGCATGTCAGAGAGAGGAAACGGTCCTCTGGATCCAGACACTAAGTTTTCCTCTTTGTTATGGAGGAGCAGCTGAAAGGCTGAATGCAGCCTCAGCAGCTGAGGAATGAAACCCTGTCAGCTGTGAGTCTCAGTAACCGGATCACTGAAACTTTTCTCTGACTCTCTGGCTCTAGGTTAGAGATGAACTTTCCTCTGACAGGAGAAAACAAGGACGTCTTACCTGTGGTTTTGCTCCAAGCTGCGGCCATAAACGCTCCCACACACAGCAGAGCTCTGATAGAGGCCATGCTAACTCTCTGGATTCCTTTCCAAACTACCTGCTCAGAGGAGAAGCTGCTGTGCTTCAGAGCGAGCTGCCTCTGCGGCGGGGCAGAGAGCGTGGGAGCTGCAGAGGGGTGGAGCCGGGGGAGCATTCAGGGTTCTGCCTGCTGATACTTTCCACATGTCTGCAGCCCATGGGGGCTCATTCTGAATTCCTCCCAGACCCTGACTCATGTTCGTGTGAACGTTGTGAAAGCGGGATGACAAACCAGGGGGAGTGTTTCCAGAGGAATGCTGCGCACCCTAAAACCAGCTGAACTAATAGGGCCTCCTTTGTGTCAGCCGACAGCTAAAGCTCCCGTTGCCTTGGCAACAGAAGCTCTGACCCAGAAGAAGCGCTCAGAAACCCCCATGTTCTGTTGGCTTTAAATGGCTGACAGCAGGACCTGTGGGGGGGGGAACCTGCTCAGAAGGACTGCAGGAGTTCAGCAGAACTTAAAAAGCCGTTAAGATGGAAAGTTCAGAACAAGAACCTGCTGGGAAAAAAAGGAAGAAGATTTATCAGCTGATAAAACATCAGGACCTAAAGGCCCGGTCACACGTCGCCCATTTAGACCAGCATATGCCTGACGTCAGTTCCTCATCAGTCATGGCGTCTAGCTCATCCTAAACCTCTGAGTAACCTGTGCATAACTTCTGCCTAACTTATCTAGAACTCAGGATACTGGCTTATGCGTCATTTCCTGGGCATCACGCTGCCGTGCGTTATGCAGAAGTTAGGCTGTCGTTGGACAGAAGTTCTGGACCCGTTCTGAATCCTCCATCTATACGCCCAGAATAGAAAGAATCCATAGAAAGTTCAGAGTCTGCCAGAGTTTTAGGAGATTCTGGGACGTCGGGCAGACGCTGGAGAAATCAGCGAGGCGTGACGGGAGCCTTTAGCAGCTGGTCTGGAAGCTTTGAACCAGTCTGGTTGAACTGGTACTATAGAAATAAACTTATCAGTGGTGAACCTGAGATGAACACGGAGGGTCAGATGTTGGAAAACTATTTCCCTCCAAAGTCTCCATCTCTGGTTCTGATGTTCTGATGTTCACAGTGACTCCTGTCAATCCCTCCCTGGATCTGTGGTCGGATTCACCCAGCTGGTCAGCAGAGAGGGAAACGTGAGGATTTGGGTTTTGTTTCTATGATCAGTGAGCGGATCTGCCTGCATAGATCCCACGCTGTTTGGATCTGATAAAGTCCATCTATGAATACATTTCTCTTCCCATCATTCACCATCTGCCTCCAGTTTCCCCAAAGGGGCGGGGTTGGTCTGAGGGTCGGAACATTTCCACACTGAGTTGGATTTTGGTAAATTACACCTCTGAGCACCGGTAACCGGTCCGAGGCCTCGGTTCTGGTTCTGGAAGGGAGATTGTGGCCTGTTCCCTTCAGGTTGGACGAGTTCCAGTATTCTGGGGTCCTGTCCGTCAGCGATGGGAGCATGGAGGTGGACGTCTAAAGACGGATCTATAGATGGATCTATAGATGGATCTATAGATGGATCTATAGATCCATCTATAGAAGGTAGAGCGACTAAATCAGAGTTTACCTTTTCTATCTGCTCTCTGAACCACAGCAGACGGAGCAGCGTCTGGATTATAGCAGCAGAACCGCCACGTCTATAGATCCGTCTATAGATCCATCTATAGATGGATCTATAGATCCGTCTATAGATCCGTCTATAGATCCGTCTATAGATCCGTCTATAGATCCGTCTATAGATCCGTCTATAGATGTCCACCTCCATT